TCAGCATAGGAATCCAAATTAGAGCAGATGGCTGTTTAGTCTCTGAACATGTGCAACCATGGGGAACCTAGCAGCTCTCTAGATAACTGCTTCAACTGTCAGATTGTTCTTATCGTGATGTTTTTCCTGACATTCATCTGAAATCTGTTTTTGTATAACAAGCCCATTATACCTTGTCCTACACTCTGGATGATATAGAGCAAATCTATCCTATCCTGATATCTATCCTATCCTGATATCCCCTCAGCCTTCTCTTCTCAAGGTGAAATACATCCAGTTCCCTCAATCTTTCTTCATGGGAGTTAGCCTTCAGCCCCCTGATTTTCCTTATTGCCCTTCTCCTACTCTAATGTAGTTTGTCTGAATTTCTGATGGATCCATCATTCTCAAACAGATCAGATGAAAAACCAAAAGAATCTTAGCTGCTTTAAAGATGCATATGATCTTTAAGATGCATATGATATCAAAGCTGATATGAAAAAGATTTCCAGCCCTAGTCAGAATGCAGTTGAAAGAAGAGAAGGCTTGCAGCAAGTCTTTAATTAATATAAAGCTGAGTAACTTTATATTAATTACATAAATTGCAAATTATGTAATTAATATAAATTAATTAAGTAACTTGCAATTGATTTTCAGAAGATTACGGACTGGAAGAGCTGGTGACCCCCAAGTCTTCAAAAATGGAGATGAATATGTATGGAAAAGAGAGATAAAACTTGAGACTTCAGGGGGGAAAAAAACCAAAGGAAGCACTTTATTCTCGCTACTTTTCAACCAGAGAACAAAGAAGGGGCAAGAAGAACCATGTATTTTAGCTATGGCAGCTATAAAATTACAGGTTTCAGCAGTCCCTAATCCTGTTTCCTGTATGTCATTACATTTTTATATTTTTCTTTTCTCAACTTTCTGGAAAAAAATATTTCTGACTTTTAAAGCACATGGTTTAAGATTTGGCTATAGCAGAGTTTATCATAATCCTTCTGCTTGATTTTTGACTGAATACTGATTTCTGTATTCTGCAACTGATTTTAATCTTTATTTTCAGTCCACTTCTCTAATCTATGGAAATTACTGATCATGTTTTCCAGGTATGAATTATCCCATTCAGTTTTGTATCATCTGCATCTTTGTTTGACACTGACATCAAAGCCATTAATAATAGTTTGAACAGAATTCTGTGACATTCTGCTCAAATCTCCTTTCAGGCTCATAGAGAAGCATTGATGAACATTCTCTGAGTACAGTTTTTGAAAAGACACCTGATTGTCATGCTATCCAGTCCACACCTAACTAGCTTGCCAATCAGAATGTTATGGAATACTTTCTAAAAGTATTTACTGAAATCAAGATACGTTATGCTCAGTTTTTTTAATGTAACCTACTCAATTTGCATTGCATGCTCTAGAAGAGGCAAGACAGAGAAGTGTAGGATGGTGGTACCCTGTCTTACCATGACTCAGGGATATGATGAATAAGGTAGAGAAAGAGAAATATAAGTCAAATGTAGAAATTGGGAATAGAGAAATTATATCAAAAGAAAACAGTATTATAATTTATAATAAAATATCAGAATGGGCAGACAGCAGAGAAAGAGTTTGGTGTAGACTAGAAACCAGGAGACTGTGCATTTTAGTTCCACCTTAGGCACAAAGCCAGTTGGGTGACCGTCGGCCAGTCACTCTCCCTCAGCCTGGGAAGGAGGCAATGGCAAGCCACCTCCAAAATCTTGCCAAGTAAACTTCAGGGACTAGTCCAGGCAGTCGTCAGGAGTCAAGACTGACTTGAAGGCACCAAATACAATATATAGAGAGCAACAGTAAAATTTAAAGAATTTAGAAATGTCATTTATGGTAGGATTCAGCCAACTGGGAAGCTAACAGCAAGGGGTAAGGGAATCAAAGCTGGGCAGGCTGTAAGAGAAATAGAAGCTGATTTTGCATGGAAGCAATAGGAAACCTTGAGAACTGAACAGCGGGAGGCAAAGGACCGTTGAACAGCTCAGAGCGCTGGAACACAGCACCACAACGGCTAACAAACAGCCGCCAGTCCCACTTAGAACCTGCGGAGAACGAAGATGAGAGGGGCGTGACCAATGGGCGGAGTTTCCGCAGAACTTCACCGCCCCTCCCCGCCCGCTCCGTTTCTGCCGTGTATAATGTACCTCTCCCTGCTTGTTTTCCCAGTGTCCTTTGCGGCAGCTGTTTGCCGCTGCTCGCCATATTGTGTTGCTTAGCGAGGAAGGGGGCTGAGGCAGCCG